TTGAAAAAAAGGACTCGTCCATTCTAATGCAAGTTAACCATTAACAGTGTAATCAGTCTTAATTACTGCTTCTCGGACACAAATCCTTCAAGTTACTTTTGTTACTTTTTTTTTTAAAATCACATCTCTCTTAATTCTAATTTCCTCCCTATTTGTTTTACTTCCTTTCCATGATCTTGTATTCAATTATGTATTTTCACTTAGACTTTCTGGTTTAAGCTCCCAATAAGGACATTTCAATTGAATTGATTGAAGAGACACTCATTTACACGTAATCCAAATTTCCCATAGAGGATGCTGCATTGAAATTAACAAATTTATGAGAATTAAAGGCTAAGGTACAATCCAGGACAGTTGTACGTGCAATGGACAGCACGCATCACCCATTCATCCTGATCACAAAGTCCAGTCCATTATGTCTAACCGACTGAAATATACTTGGACCAGGTCACAGGTATAAAGAATCGATATTCAATTCATTGTATGGTCTGTTAAATTGCAGTTTTGTTTCTGAATGCAGTAAACATTAAAACAAAGCTGCTTTAGTGAATATAAAAGGAAACTAAAAACGCAGATCAGAGAAGGTTAAAGTTCCCTCTACACTTTCTAGTGAAATGCCCAACTTCTAAAGGCCCCATTTAAAATATGCAACCACCAGTTTTGTGACTAAAGCAATCTTCTGGTAACAGTAAATTATAATCTGTAATGTCAATCTTGCAGAGTAAGCAAAATGACTAGAGGAACAAAGATGCTCAGATTTGGAGACTGGATTTACATTGTATGGTGTTTTTGAGAGGGGGGCAGGAATTATCTTTCCTGTGGTATTCTTTGAGTCTTATTCTTCACCTTTTATAACAATTGTCTTTACAGTACTGGCCACCAGTTTGTATCATCCTCACAGAATTAAATACAGCCATCATGCACTCCTGCAAATATCAATTATTAGAGAATTCCTAGTCTAATATAAACCATAAAGAATTCCCCACTGTTACTACACCCTTTAACTCATCTTTCAGGACTGTAAACCACTATGTCACACTAACCATTAATTATGAATCTCACATGCCTTCCGAAGTTCTTCCTACTGTGATTCATTTAATTATAGTAATTAATATAGATGCCAAGTCATTCCAAAATTTCAAACTAACCCATTTAAAAGAAATATTATTCACATTGATATCAGCATTTGTCTAATCATTAAGAGTATTATGACACAGAGTCTGATGTCGCTCAAATATCAATTCTTGGTCACTTCCTATTTCTTAACGATTGGCAGCAAGTCAATTTCCGTATGTACACTGATAGGATCCAGCTCTAAGTTATCTCTCCTGATTCCTGCACTCTCTCTCGATCAGGCTATTTGCCTGGTGAGAGGGGAGCTTGCAGGTGGTTCTGTTCCTATGCCTCGGCTGGTCTTGTCCTTTCAGGAGGTAGAGATTGTGGGTTTGGAAGGCGCACCCAGATGTGCCTTGGTGAGTTACTGAAATACATCGTGAAGATGATGCACACCGCTGCCACTGTGTTGCTGATGAAGACAGCAAATGTTGAGGATAGTGAACATGGAGCCAATCAAGCGGGCCACTTTGTCCTAGATGGTGTCAAACTTCTTCAGTGTTGTTGGTGCTGCACTCAACCAAGCAACTGGGGAGTATTCCATCACACTCCAGACTCGTACTGTATAAATGGTGGACAGGCTTCGAGGGGAGTTACTCACTGCAGGATTCCTAGCCACTTACCTAGCCACAGTATTTAGATGGTTAGTCCAGTTCAGTTTCTAGTTAATGGTAAACTGCAGGATATTGACAATGGGGGATCCAGTGATGGTACTGGTCATTGAGAGAAGACAGGACATGTGTCATTTTTATGGTGCTAGCTGCTATATGATGACTATAAAATGTCCAGTCTTTTAATGTTTGCAAATGGATGGGTGAATGAATGGATAGATTGATGGGTTAGGTAAGTTAGGGAGGCTGAGATGTCTGTGTAGGAGAGGTGGTGAGGTTGATGAGTGGATAAGTGGTCAGTAAGTGGGTGAGATGGGTGGTAGTTTGAGGGGAATGAGGGGAGAGCAGGTAGTCGGGTCAAGTCTGTTTCAACATGGGGAGGGGAGAAGGGAAGTAGTCAGGTTGGGTCAGGAGGTGTAGTCAGATGGTCAATTGCAGCTGGTAACTCCAGCTGGTAGACTAGATTGGAATCTGCCCACAGTTCCAGCACAATTATCCAACTGAGTGCACTGAAACCATCCAAAGTTCGAATTAGAGTTGGTATATTGTTCCAAGGAGCAGGAGAATTGCCCTTTGGAAGGTGAAATATACCCTCCACTCCTCCCTGCTTCTACGGGGCCCCAAGTACATCTTTGGTCTTGTGTCTGGTTTCTGACATTCCGCAGAACAAATAATTTGATCAAGTGACTTTAATCCCCATCTCAAACTCGATTTCCTTCACCACCGCTTCCATCCATCAATAGCCTGAAGCTGAAACAGATGGCTTGCAACATTGGTGTTGTATTTTACCCAGAGATGAGCTCTCAATCAAATATTCACACAAACACTACTAATTTCCAGAGATAGTAGGAACTGCAGATGCTGGAGAATCCGAGACAACAAGGTGCAGGGCTGGATGAACACTGCAGGCCAAGCAGCATCATAGGAGCAGAGAGGCTGACGTTTCGGGCCTAGACCCTTCATCAGAAAAGGGGGAGGGGAAGGGGGTTTTGAAATAAATAGGGAGAGAGTGGGAGGCGGATAGAAGAGGGATAGAGGAGAGGATAGGTGGAGAGGAAACAAACAGGTCGAAGAGGCGGGGATGGAGCCAGTAAAGGTGAGTGTAGGTAGGGAGTTAGGAAGGGGATAGGTCAGTCCAGGGAGGACGGACAGGTCAAGGGGGCGGGATGAGGTTGGTCGGTAGGAGATGGAGGTGCGGCTTGAGGTGGGAGGAGGGGATAGGTGGGAGGAAGAACAGGTTAGGGAGGCAGGGACGAGCTGGACTGGTTTTGGGATGCGGTAGGGGGAGGGGAGATTTTGAAACTTGTGAAATCCACATTGATACCATTGGGCTGCAGGGTTCCCAAGCGGAATATGAGTTGCTGTTCCTGCAACCTTCGGGTGGCATCGTTGTGGCACTGCAGGAGGCCCAGGATGGACATGTCGTCTGAGGAATGGGAGGGGGAGTTGAAATGGTTCGCTATTGGGAGGTGCAGTTGTTTATTGCGAACCGAGTGTAGGTGTTCTGCAAAGCGGTCCCCGAGCCTCCGCTTAGCCTGTTTTCACCTGGAATTTAGATATGTATTACTAACTCTTCCATGTAGTTGTGATGTGAATGAGTTCAAACTACAGACCGAACCTTTGCAGTCCACACACATAAGGTGGCAACATTACAAAATACATGAATCGTGTGTGATACTTGTAATGTCCCTAAATTGTATGAATGAGTGATGCACTACATTGTACTTCTTTCAAGCTGAAAGAAATTACATTGATTTCTTAGTAACATTCAATGGGGCTATACATATCTCATAATGGAGTTTCCTGGTGACATACTTACAAGTCTTACTTTGGAGTGGTGTTAAGCATCACGTTGAAACTGAGGAGTTCTGCAACATTGACTACAAATAAAGTGCCTAATGATTGTTAGGAAAGAAGAAGGTCAGCAGATCACAAAAGCAAGATATTGTGGATGCTGGAAATCTGAAATGAAAACTGGAAATGAGCAGCTCTAGAATCAAAAACAAATTATCAATTTGTGGATGACACTACTTCGGGCAGGAGTAAGGGAGAACGGAAGGTCAATTCTGAGGAAGGCAGCCAACAAATTACGGAAGGGCATTAGTAAACTTGCAGAGCGGAAAAATAATTGGCAAATGAATTGCAACGCAGATAACTATGAGAGACTATATTTTCTAGGAAATGTAGGGAGGTCATTATTGCTTGGAAGTAAAGTCCATGTGAGGTGGAGGTATAAAGAGCTCCAGGGAGAATAAATACACCAATTGCTAAAAGTTGTGCCAAAAGCTAGCTAGGCCATTAAACATAAAGCACACCAAACACTAGTCTTTATTTCAAGAGAGATAGAATTGAAAACTTCATGACTATGCTAAACCTGTATCAAACCTTGCTTAGACTGTACTCGGTGCTGAATATAGTTCAGGTTGTCTGTAAAGTATTATTATTAAAATGCTATACAGCAACAACTTGTATAACATCTGTAATGTAATGAAATGGCACTTTATAGGAGCATTATGAACAATGTATGACACAGAGACAGATGAGATATTGGGTCGGTACTTGGAAGTGTCTTATCAGAGAAAACTGGAGTTGCATTGTTAAGAATGCAGAGAAGATTTATAAGGATGATACCATAAATGTGTGGATATGCATATCAGGAAAGGATTAACAAATGGGGTCTGTTATTCTTGGTCAAAAGGTTGAAAAGAGACCTTTAAAATTACTAAAGATTTTGATAGAGCGCTTAAGAATGTTGCTTCATGTGGGGAAGAGCATAACCAGAGGCTGTCAAAGTAGGCTGTCACTGCAAAATCCAGTAGGGAATTCAAAAGTAACTAATTTACCTAAAATGTAGAAAAAATGTGAAACTCACTACCACAGGAATTAGTTAAAGCCTATAGTTAAGAATTTAAGGTGCAGGTAAACAAGCAGATGAGGGAGAAGGGAGTGAAGGGTTGAATAGTTCGGGTGAGAAAAGGTGAGAAGGTTCAAGTTGAGCAGAACCACTGGCATGAAACAAACACAGACAATATTGGAGAAACTCAGCAGGTCTGGTAGCATGTATGGAGAGAGAAAGAGAATTAACGTTTTGAGTCTAGTATGACTCTTCTTCAGAACTACTGGCACTGACTGGTTAACCCAAATGACTAGTTTCTGTGCCGTATATCCTATGAAATATAATGCATGAGTGGTTAAAAGAGTTAAGTGTGAAGAAGACTTTTAATCTGTTCTGTGCTGGAATTGTAAATCAGCTAATTTAATATTTTTATTTAAATCTCAGAATTAGATGTTGTTCTACCTCATTCTCCATTTGATGAAATATCCGAAGAAGCAGCTTTGCAAATTGAGACAAGTCCTTCATTCCCTCTTACCTCATTTACCTTGCGTGACTATGTTGACCAGTCAGAGACCCTAACCAACCTGGTGCTTCTAGGTATGTAATAATTCTATGAAAGTAAATCTAAATAATTACAGTGCTTTACGGGTATTGATGCAGCAGATTCTCCTAGCTGACTCTTACTCACCTACGCCTGTTATCTTTATGTGCCCAAGCTTCATGGTTAATTTTCTTTTATTTAACTTCCACTCAAGAATTGAATCCTTGTTGGTGACAGATGTCTGAAATGACAGGAAAGAGAAGGAAAGTCAGTCTACTGAGTATTTCCAATACAAACATGGTGTTATTAAGAATTATGATTCCAAATGGTGAGCAACTCTGAAAAGGTGCAAAAACACAGGAAAAGAGCTGGAGAGCACTGATGAAGAGAAAATGAGGTTGATGATCCTAAAGAAAAAAGAACTCTTGCGATCTAAGCTAGTTCTGTGCTTATTTGATTAACTCTTTCATTATTTTTAATACTCCTTTCAAATCTCTCCCAAGTCCAGTCTTTAGGATGAGAAAAATCTCTGCTCTCTAATTCTATCCCAATAGCTAAGAGTTTTCAAAGTAGATGTTATTTTCATGGCCTTCCTCTGACCTTTTTTAAGTGCCTGTAAATCTCCCATCATATAACAGGGCTAGAGCCAGACATGATGTTCTAAATGAAGCCTAACCACATTCTTGTGGAAGGATGTTATAGTGATTTTGTTCAACATTAGCATATACATGCAATGTATTCAAGGATTCTATTGGCCTTTATTAAAGCCTGATGGTACTCATCATAAGCTTTTTGAGACTTGTGGGGAAAATTGAAATAAGAAACACTCATCATTCACTTTGATGTTACTTATTTCTTCATCTGCTAGGTCACATAGATCATTCCCTGTCTGCTAGTGCATACCATTTTCTTTAGAACTCCACATGTGCACAGATTTTTGTTAGAATTCTGCGACCACTAGCATTGCCGTGTACAAAAGTATACAGTTCATCTGTATAAAAACATAATGCCTTTGTTTTATTACTAATTGTTGCAGCCAGAAAACAAATAGCAGCCATTAAGACATAGTGATTTGACATTGCGCTGTGTCACGATGCATTTTATTGTAAATCTTATCTTACAGGTGTAGATCTGTCTAAACTAGAAAGGCGACCAAATGTGGCCAATATGCTGCTACGACTGGATTTTAACAGAGATGTAAAAGAGAGACTTCTGTTCCTAAAAGACGTAGGAGTAGATGATCATCTGCTTGGAGCATTCCTCACAAGAAACCCCTTCATTTTGACTGAGGATATGGAGAATCTACAAATGAGGTAATGTGAGGGATCTTGATATCTATCTAGCTTAAGAAATACCAAGAAACTGGTGGCATAGAGAAATCAGAAGGGAAATCTAGATGGAAGCATAAAACGGAACAACTTCAAGTATGGCAAGAATAAATGATAGGTGAAAAGATGTATTGGCCCAATTAATGTCAATGGGGAAATGCTATCTGAAGATAGGGAACAAAAGCTGAAGTATTTAACTGTAGTTTCTAAATGCTTGTAAAACAAAATAGTGGAAGACTGCAAGACTTGGTCTACAGTTTAAAGATTAATGTGGATAGACATAGAGTCATAGTCATTCCAGCATGGGAGGACACGATTCAGCCTATTGAGTCCAGTACTATGAATGTATCTGTTGCTGAGAACTTCATACATGTCTTTGTTATTTCCAAACTAATCTATTCCAAAGAACCTCTATTCTTCACCTGCTAGACTTTAGCTTAGGCAGAATGTTGTACCCATTCCTATACCAAGTCCTGATCTCCTGTCATCTCTTCTCCTCATAAACATCTTGGATCCCAGCCCCTCTGACTCAAATTTAAAATTATGATTTATTCCTCTTTTACCTTTCCAATGCCTGTCATCTTCTCTAGCAATATAAACCAGCTTAGAGACTCTCTGTTCCTCTGGATCCAGTGTCCTAGCGGTCTCCCCTGTCCTAACCTAATCATTGCTGTGTCTTTAACCACTCAGGAGCTCAGGCTTAAACTTTCCATCTCCATTTTTTCTTCTTAAAAACGCCTTGAGTCAAATGAGTTTGAGCAAAGCTCTCTTATCGTAATTTTTCCTGGGCTTGATTGTTTTTCCTTATAAATAAGTGTTTAAAATGTTTTGTGACAATTGTGCCATGTTAAAGGACCAATATAAATGCAAGTTAACAGTGGGAGTAGCAGGAATTGTATTACTGTTAAATTGATATAATAATTCTGCTTTATTTACAGGCTATTAAAGAAGCCTAGATAAATAATTAAAAGATCATTTTGTTAAAGCTACAAAAATTGTTGAGATAAAGTTCATTAAAAAGCCAACTTATTAACTATGTACTATGTCAGGACAGTGTTCTGGTAGGATTACATATGGTGCAGGGCACAGACAGAAGCAAATCAATTAACCCAATTAATGGCAGAGCCTATGTTTTACTCTAGCTCCTTCCCACCTATCTTCACCTAAATCTGTCATCATAATCCTTTCCCATCATCTACTTCTGTAGCTTTCCTTTAAATGTATTTGCACTATCCAGTTGGTGGCAGTTTCTACATTCTCACCACTCTGGATAAAGAACTTCCTACTGAGTTCCCTATTAGAATTCTTGGTGCTTATCATGGTGATTGAAGTTATATTCTTTCTCACAAGTGGAAACGTGCTGTCTGTAACCACTCTAGCAAAACGTTTTAAATTTTAAAAAGCTTTATAATGTCACCCTATGACCCTCTTTTCTTCATGGAGAAAAGAGGGCTAGCCTGTCAATCTTTCCAATATGTATATAAGCATGGATTTAGATCTAGCATCAGTTCCTTCTTTGCCTACTCTATCCCTCAAGAAATAAAACTATGTGCTTGGATTGTATTTTTGTGATCTTGCTGACGTCTGGTGCAGCTTTTAGTGTTAAGGTATATTTGTATTCTGAAATACTCCTTTGTTCCACCTTCCCACTAAGACATGGCCATTCGAAGTACTGATTGACCTCCCTATGCTTTAGCAAAATAACTATCTCACATTCATTAATCACCTGCATTGAACTTCTTTTGTTAATTATTTGTCCATTCTACAAGCTTATTACTGTCCTCCTTAATTTGTCCCATCATCTTCAGTGGTGTTTATGAAAGGACCTTCCCCCAACTTGTTGCTTTGAAATTGAGAAATTATGTTTTTGATTCTGAGGTCCAAGTTGTTCATGTAAATTTTGAACAGCAGCAGACCCAACACTGATCCTTATGGAACATCACTTCCCATGTCTGCAAATCAGAATAACTGCCAGTTACTCTCACTCTCTGCATTTAGTCTTGAAGCCAGAAGTAATCAACTCTGCCATCTACCTCTTGACTCCATGTTTTCTGACCTTGGTCATCAGCCATCGTACTAAATAATTAGATAAATAATATGTTCCCCTATATCCTAAAACACTTTGTAAAATCCAAATAGGGATGCAAGATATTTGGTGATATGTTTGGTTTTAAATATCTGTTTCTCTTTTTCTCAATTCAACGCCAGTGGTTTTTCATTTTCTTTTAGAATACAGTACCTGCAATCAAAGAAATTCAGCAAAGAAGCCATTTCAAGGATGGTGTCAGGAGCCCCTTATTTGTTAAACTTCAGTGTGGAAAGACTGGACAATAGGCTGGCATTCTACCAGAGAGAACTGAGGTTAAATGTGCAAAAGGTAACGCTGTGTGATGAATTTAATACTGTGTATGTGGAGCTGTTATGAGGGAAGTGAAGCAGTACGTGTTGAGACTTGATGCTGTGGGGTGAGGAAACCTTCTGCAATTGCTGCTTCTGTAATCCTGTCATGGACACAGAATAACCAACCTTAATGCCACTTATCTTGTCTTTGATCATTACCATCAATCATCAATGTTAAGCATAGCATGAGACTGTTAATTGGATGGCCTATTAATGGGGAGTGTGGATTTTAAAGTGATGCTTAATTACTTTGGCATTTAAAAGAAGAAAAACCTTGTTTTTACTTGGCATCTTACCATGCTTCAAAAAACTTCACCTGAAATGAATTGCTTTGAAGTGCACTATGGTGGTTGCACAACCAAGATACCATAAACAACAATGTGATGGATGATCAATTAATTTAGTTTTAGTGGTCTGGAAAGATTGACCAGTATACTAAAAAAAATTCCCTGTTGTGCACAAGTTCCACCTGGAATCTTTAATATCTACCTAAATCACTGAGACAAGAAGACTACCCTCAGTTTGACGCGTCACCAAAGAGTGACACTTTCGATTATACAAAGCTTTCTTAGTATTGCATTGGTCTGCCAGTTTATATGGTGTGTTTCTTTTCTGGAATAGACCTTGAGCTGACAACATTCTGACTCCATCATGAGAGTGCTACAAACTGAGCCTAACTACGTTCGTAAGAAGTAAGAGTTATATGAGACAAGTGTATATTTTTGTTGAGACAGCAGTATACAATGTTATGAATAGTTGACAAGGTGAAAAGGCAAAATTATGCTGTTTTTGCACTGGAGACAGGCAGAATTTCCTTTTCCATGATCCACCTTGTTACAGATTCCTGCTGAAATTCTGTTGAGTCTTTGGTGAAATATTTATTAATCCACAAAAATGTCTCAGGTTTTGCTATTCAGCTATTAACCTGAAATTACCAGCATTGGTGAAAAAAATGCTAATGCTCTCCCTTTTGCACGCACACATAGCACCATCTAGTGAAATGAATCTAGCTGAAAATGTCACCCGGCAGTTGTCCAACACCTTCTTGATGTGTGAGAACAATTTGAGAGGTGAATACTATTACCACCCACTGTCCCCCACCTTGCAATTCAGGGCATCTCAAAAGCACGGCTGAGAGAAAGTTTATCATGTGGAAAATCCTTATTAAGGAATTACACCCGGATGTTATGGCCCATCAAGTTGGAACTGCAAGTGGATCTTTATGGTCCTGTAGCAGAACTTACTATTGATTTATCGTAAATGTACAGCTAACAGAGTGATTATGTTCTGCTGTTTGTGGTAAAATCAAAGTAGATTTGAATTTTTTACAAGCTCCCTCTTACATGAATCTTTCAGATGTTGAAATGCCTTTTCAGTTGAAAATAGATTAGCACTATTTTTCATCAGTAATGCTGTTTGCCTCTGCTATACTAGAGAGCATAGACGATGGCCTGCAGTATTCTTTTAGGGAACAACTATATAGTGCATTTTAAAACAGGAAAATATCCCATGGGACTTTTACACAGTGTTTCAAACAAATTTATTGTTGTGCCACATGGAGAAAATACAACTGAAATCAAAAGTTTGGTCAAAGAAATAGAAGAATATTCTGAAAGGAAGAGGACAAGCAGAGGGGTTTATAGATAAAATTAAAACATTTCAAGGCTCAGCAGCTAATGGTGATGCAGTTGAGGATGTTGAGAAGCCAAGGTTCAACTCAAAAGAAAAAAACAAAGAAAATGTTGGCAATTCTCCATAGATCAGCATCCATGGGAAAAAAAGAAAGAGGTAACATTTCTGGTCGATAATCTTTCTTCAAAACCGGATAAGGTTACAGATGCAACTAGTTTTAAGCAACTAAAGAAACGTAGAAAGGATGGTTGATGGGAACAGGAAAAGCGAAGGTGAGAGAGATGGACAATGACACAAGTAGAGGGACAAAGAATGAATCTAAGGACGAAAACAAAAGATGCCGAAAACATTCAGCAAGTGTTATGTTCAATTTAATTCATAGTCAACTGATTGGACACAATCAATGATAATCTAGAGCAAGATTTCAAGGGGCAGCATGGTGCCCAGTGGTTAGCACTGTTGCCTTACGGTGCCAGGGACCTGGGTTAATTTCCAGTCTCAGATGACTGTCTGTGTGGAGTTTGCACATTCTCCTCGTGTCTGCATGGACTTCCTCTGGGTGCTCCAGTTTTCTCCCACAATCCAGACAATAACTGGATTGGCCAGAGTGAATGTAAGGTTACAGCAATAGGCTGGGGTGTGTGCGTCTGGGTGCCATGCTCTTCGGAGGGTCGGTATGGTGTTGATGGGCCAAATGGCATGCTTCCGCACTGTATGGAGAATGAGATCATAGAATCCATTCTTTCTAAATGAAAGAAACTATTCTATCAAGAAAAAGTAATGATGTGTCTCTACTCAACCTTTATCTCTCACCAGATTTGACTCTGATAATGGATCTTTATCTGAATGTTAACATTTTTCCAGAGACTATAAATTCTGTTTTTAAATTATCTGCATTTTTTATCTTAAATTTTAATTTGAGTTTCTTTTATTTTGTGCTAGACTCGTGATCTGGTCACCCGTCTTCCCAAATTGTTGACTGGCAGCTTGGAACCCGTCAAAGAAAATCTCAAAGTAGGTGGAATAGCAATGTTTTTCGAGGAAAAATTTTTTACAAGGTTCTAGGTCTCTCTGTCGTCTGTGAGATATTGATCCTCTTGCTCCTATGAGTATCAGCGAATAGGATCACAACTCAAGTTCAATTCTCTTTTGCTGGCAAGCAAGTCTCAGTCTCAGACAGTCAGCCCAAAATCCCTAACTCTTTTGGTATACAAACATGCTAAATTGCTACTGTAAAAAGAGTAAACTTAAACTCATACACCGAGAACTTGAACATTACAAAAGTCAAGGCAAAGCGTGTCCTAATCTTAAGCATTTTCTCAAATGCAATATAAATCTCAAACATTGTAAAATCAAAAATACAGACAAGTTCGTACCACCTTTTTGTGAATTCAGATTTAAAAAGAATATTTATAGATATGTACAAAAGACAGTAAAATATATCTGTTGAGGTCATTAATTGAGCATTGTCTCCATACTTTGATTCTGTGTAGTTCTTTCTTCCACCGGATGAATTTTACTGTGAGGATGATGAGATATATTAGCTTGAATTGGATTAGCAACACAGCCAGGCGTGACAGGAGGCGGATTCATGGATGTATCTGGATGTTCAAGCCCTAGTCCCAGAAATCCTCTCCCCAAGTAGCGACTAATTTTTTTATATATCTTTTGGTTTGCTGCACTATTTTGTTGAAGGTCCTGTGGTCGGTGGCTATCGAACCTGAATTTGTAGCTTCTCAGGCAGGGGTTTGATGCCTGTAACATACTTCTCAAAATATTCCCCTCAAGTCTGCCGGAATTCCTCACTTGCAATTCATCTCCACCCTCTCTTCTGTGTATGTCTGCGAGTCGTGTTAGGCCTATCCTGGTGGGTGTGTGTGGCCCAATATAGAAGGTGATACTGGTGACATAGCACTGTAACATCCCATGTTGATATTCTTTGAGTGAGACTGTACTACAATACTCCCCCTGTCTGCTATAAGGCTACCCAGGTTATGCCATTGTCCAGGTTGACAGTTTCTCTGGACAATTTAAAATGGTTTTTAATCTTGAATGGCAAAATATTTTGTCTGAGGAGCTTGTGTCATTAATGCGTCACCCAGTGAGCCTACTTAACATGATTGTTGTCTCCCAGCATTTCTGTCCGGCTTGTCCCAGACCTGATATTTGCTCACTGCAATGAGCAACCTACCTGGGCCACTTCTTATTTAGGTCCTTCCTTAGCACCATCTCCCACTCTGGGCATTATGTGAGTGTTTCCTTTTAATTTATTTCTCTCCCTCTCTTGTTCTCCCATGCGTCCCTGGCCCTATATTAGCTGCTTTATCGCTCTCTGGGTCCGTGATCCTACTCTAGCTTCTCTGTATCCTGACCTGAATATCTAGTTTTGCGCCACCTCATGGATCCCTTGACCCTGTATTTGGCTTCCTTGCCTCTTTATTCTCCCCTTCTGTCTCTAGTCGCAGGAATATGGGAGTCGATTGGGATTGGGGTCCAGCTTTCACTAAATTCCTATTCTATCCCTCTAAGTCTAAGGTGTATCGGAAAAGCGTGTCGCACCCATCTGAAACTCCAGGACTTAGCCTTTCTCATGGCTGACTCTAGAGTTCACCCACAGTCTTAACTGACCTAGCTTCAAATTCTGCTATTCGTTTGTCTCACTATTCAAAACACCTGGTTTGTGGCCCAATTGTTCTATCCGGATTCACGTGACTGAATCCTGGCCGTCACGTGGAGAAACTGCCCTCTTAATACAGGCTAAGGCTGGAGTTTTGAGAATAGAAGGCTGTTGGATTTGACTTTGGAGCAACTTAGGATCAGTTCCTATTGAGGCCCACTCAGGTACACCCGATGTTGCCTGTGAAATATTTTATATAGATACTTAGAGAAGTCTATTACTCACAAAATGTGATAACCCAGGTGCTGCTATGTATGAGAGAATCAAAGGACTGTGGTTGAAACATTTTTTTTAAGTAAAATACTCAAGTTAAAAAAACAACCCTTACACAACAAATTAAGTTAACATTTCCCCAAACTAGCTGCCTGCCTGAAAAATATATATACTAGCTGCTCTGGTGAATTTGATTGGGCTGCCCGATTGAGTCATCTTGGTGCAAAGGTGGGTCTTACACGGAGCCTTCGCCGGCCAAATCTTCGCTGAGTGAATGGCTGCTAGATGTCCCTTCTCATGTCTCCTTTCCGAGCACTTCTGGAATGTTCTCTGGCTTCAGCCAATGGGGTCACAGGGCAGGGGTCACAGCACCCAATTGGATTAGGCCAGCTCATCCGAGGTGTACCATCCCCTTTCCAAGATATGATTACTCTATGGTACCAAGAAGTTGGACCGAAACTGGGATACACAAAAATAATGTCTCTCCATAATGTTTTTGATTTTAATTTTTTTTTGACCTGTAATAACCTTGACCTCTTTGCATTGCATCAGGCCTTGCTTACAGAAACTGTTTAGCCAATTCTTTGTAAAATCTAGTTGCATAGGTCGTTGCCCACTTGGCCAGAATGTCAAACTATCAAATGCCGGCGTGTGATCATTTGAGTAGATCACTTAGCCATTTGGTCCCTTCAGCCATTCTGCCATCTGGGCCTCCTCTGGAAATTCCAAGCATCTCTTATGGTAGTCTTCAGCCAATTGGATTCATTCCACGTGATATTAATAAATGGCTGAAGGCAGTGTATACTGCAAAGACTTTGGGCCCTGATAATGTTCTGGCAATAGTACTGAATCATTATGCTCTAGAATTAGCTGCTCCCTGGGTCGAGCAGTTCCAGTCCAGCTACAACACTGGCATTTATCTAGCAATGTGGACAATTGCCTCGGTATGTCCGGTACACACAAAGCAGGACCAGTCCAACACACCTGGTTGCTATCCCATCAGTCTACTCTTGATCAGTAAAGTGATGGAAGGTGTCATTGCTAAGCAAATGCTGCTTGAAAGCAATAACCTGGTTACTGACATCCAGTTTGGGTTCCACCACAACCATGCAGCTCCTGACCTCATTCAAACATAGACCAAGGAGTTAAACTCCAGACAGGAGATGAGAGTGACTGCCCTTAACATCAGTGTTGCATTTGACAGTGTGGTGTCAAGGGGCCCGAGAAAAATTTGGAATCACTGCGAATCAGGAAGAAAACTTTCTGGTTCAAGTCATATCTGGTGCAAAGGAAGACAGTTGTTATTGTTGGAGGTCTGTCATCTCAGCGGACAATATCTATGCCTGGATTGACAAGTGCCACACAAATGCCAGGCAGTGGCCTTCTCCAACCATTGCGTCTTGACATTCAGTGGCATTACCATCACCTGGATCAACATTCTAGGTATCACCATTGATCAGAAACTGAACTGGACTAGCTATATGTAACACTCTGTAACACTCCACTCTGTCGCTTGTGTTTTCTCCTTCCCTGCCCATCTACATCATTTCCTGCTTAGTGACTCAACAGCCAAGTTCTTCATTTGCTTCTTGCCATGTTGTGTCTTGTAGCTCCATCTCCCACTTCCTCTTCCTGGAGCCCATTGACTAAAGGGGTGAGGGTTTTAATGTTGTCTGTGGACTCTAAATTTGTTCCATTCCATGTCTGTGGATTTATTTCTCAGAATCTATTTGTAAATGGAGTGGTTAATGGAGAATGCTCTCACATGCAGGAATAAGAGACTCCGGAGCAGACTCCCAGTAAATTCAGTTGGTATTGGTGATATTTGGCAGGTGTTTAGACACTAGCTCCCTCTAGTTTCTTCTGCCTGCACATTCTCCCATCCACAACCTGTGTTCCCTTCACCATCAGCCAACTTGTGATGAAAAATGTCATCAAGTGACATCTCAATTGTCTTTCCATGCTGGAATAGTTACAACCAACCTTTTCCTATCCAATATATGCAATTTTTGTACAAGTATATTAAAACAGGAGATTTGAGTTTCTTGATGCCTGGCACAGTGGGACTGATTTCACTGTCTTTAGGTAAGATGCTAATTTCAGTTCAGCCGATTTTTTGTTTATTCCATGTTGGTTTCCTGAACTTGTCTTAATCTGTAGCCGTTTTAGATCAGTGTTTGTCCTTTTTAAAACCATCTAAGTCCATGAAAAACCTCTGATGTTAAAATAAGGTGATGGAAGTTGAAAATTAATCGTCCATATTTTACCACTGTTGTGATGAATCAAAATTCTAACCACATCTGGACTTAGTCTGAGAAGTGACAATTAGCATTTATGCCATGTAAGTACCAAGCAATAACCAACTCAAATAAGAAAACACATAACCACTTTCCAGTGATCTTCAGTGGTACTGTTGCCAATGGCCCAACAACATCTTCCAAACAACAAATTATGCTTAGTCTGTGGCAAAAGATCCCTCACTTGCTTTCCACAACTTTCAAAGTTCAAGATAATTACTTGTTTTCAAACAGCTTGACATTAATTAGTTTAACTCTTTCAATTTCATTAACACCTGCTACTGAATTCCTGATTCACCCTTTTATGCTAGCACTTTAGTAGCAGGATATGCAGGATACATTTGTAGCACTTCAACAAGCTTGCAATCTTTACCACTGAGAAGGGTAAGAGCATTTGCACTAGCTGCAAGTTCCCTCAAAGTCACACCATCCTGATTTGGTTATTTATTGTCTTTCCTCCATCAGTGACGGAAACTCCCAAAATTTATTCATTTTTGCAGTGCCATCATCGCAAAATGTGCCGACACTTAAGGAGAAACCCTACCACCATTGCAAGTTCGGTTTGGCAATGAAAGCAGCTTGCTGCATCCTGAGATTTCAACATTAAGTTCACAAGGGCAATTTCCATTTTAAAAAGTTTAGGATTCCAAATTATGCATTTTATAGTTTGTATTTCAAAAGTATTTGGTATACAATCCGTTCTTATTTAAAAGGAAAGCTATTACGTCCAGTTACGTGACAGTAAAGACTAAAGTATAAATAGAAAATGCTGGAAATAGTCAACAGGTCTCACAGAACAACTGAGCATTTCCTGCATTTTCTGTTTTATTTCAGATTTCTTGCTTCCGTGGTATTTTGTTTTTGGACCAAAATTGAACCAATTTAACTTTAACTATTATCTAATGGTTGCAGTAGCTAGTTTTCCATCCAGTTGTGCCAATTTTATCATTGCAAATCTCTCCCTCTGGCAATTTTGTTGTTTTCCAGGTTTGTCGGATTGAATTGGGATTTCGTGATAATGAAATCCAGCACATGGTAATCAGCATCCCGAAACTCCTCCTGGCTAGTAAGAAAAAAGTGACTAGAACGTTTGACTACTTGCACAATACCATGGGAATCCCCCATCACCTGATTACAAAATTTCCTCAGGTAAATATGGACATTCTCTTCACCTTCTTATATTAAATGCAGTATGTCCTAATCTTAACAGTATTCCAGTGAATTCAGGATCTTGATTGGGGTGGTTCTTTATTGGTTTATTAATATTGATTCCTCTTTAGACAATGAGAGATTATTTTAAAATTAAAATGGCATTATCACAACATGGCTGAATTGAATTGTACCAAAGCTGTCTTTGAAATGAATTACCCCATGCGGTATCTCATTTGATGATACTGTGTTGATGATAAAGACTATATTACATTTTAATTTTTACTGCATTTTTAACTGTAGTGAGGGAGAGCATGAAATAATAGCAAGCAACCTAAGAACTGCCTACTATTCCTACAAATTCTTACTATTCCTACTATTCCTTCACTTCATCCTTATCGGGGTCTGTGTTTGCATTCTGCCCCAGTTTGAGAGATTGGATGGCTGACCAGCATTCTCTCTTTGCTTAGACTTGTGTGCGATATTGATGTAGGAACAATTATTATTTTCTTTTCCCTCTTCCTTCACCTCCTGTATGCCTCAGTTTCCTTCCAATCTTTGCCAAAAACCAAAACCTCTCCTTGCCACATTATAAGGGAACACATCTCTCTACCATTGACATCTTAACACTACCAGTGGTATAGAGTCTTACAAATTTTCAACAAAATATTTTACCTACTTAGTTTAATATGGATAAATAGCTTTTTTGTCATTAGTGACTGTAACTGAAGTTTTGAGAGTCATTAATTTTGAATTTTCACTTTTTGGCTTTGGTATTACGAAAGAATGTGTGTTTAGGTGATCGAGAAATGTTCTTGTTACTTATTGTTCTTATTACTGCATATGTTGAGAATTAACTTTCCCCACCTAATCAAAAAAAAAACTTTATTCTTGCCTTAGGTTTTTAATGCAAAGTTTCTGAGAATAAAAGACAGACATCTGTTTCTTGAACACTTGGGACGAGCTCAATATGATCCAACTCAGCCTAACTACATCTCACTGGATAATTTGGTTGCAACACCTGATGAAGTATTCTGTGTAGAGATAGCAAAAGGCACACTGCTGGATTTTGAGGCATTCCAAAAGACACTTTAAATTCTCTTAAATAGTTTCAATATGTGCCGACTTACAAAAGGAATAAATAAATTTAGGGTCATGACTATTTTCCCTGTATTTCCAATAACTATATAAACTATTTCCAGACTGGTGGTTTGCTTAGTAGCAATGATATAGCTATCTGACAACGAATCCAAAGAAAAGTTGTAACATTTCTCTAAGTGCGATTGTAGATTTTGCGTGTGGTTTCAATGTTCTGAATAAATCCTCGCTGGGAAATGGATTTAACTTTTTCCTAAAACTAATTTCTGTGGTCACTGCTTGCCAGAAATCTGCCACCTTTATCCTTTATTATGAGCAGGATTGATTCCAGGGCCAAGGGGTGAATACGCTACAGATTTGGTAAGAATATTTTAATGGTAACTGGACTAAGAATTTCTCCTAAAAAATTACATGAAGTCTTTTGAGAGACATCATGTTAAGATGCAAGCAGACATTCATATTTGTGAAACGATGCAGTATTATTTGATTCTGAACAATGTTGAATTTAGATGAACTGCAAGCAATATTCTAAATCAGTTCTGTATTTTTGGCTTGCAATTGCTGGAAGTAGACAGTGCCCCTATCAGGATCGTACGTAGATCGAGACAGTATTTCATGAGCCTATTTTAATTTGTGAAAATTTGAACGCGTTTACTCATGAATGAATAATGAGAGATATGTTTTTATTAAGCAATACATGTTATCATCTCTGTTGACCCCTCCACTGCTTCTGATTTGTCACCTTTTTTGTCCAATGTGGAGTGCACAGAAAATTGCCCGGTTATATGTTAGGGAGACTGAGGCAATTGTTTTTGGGTTTGGTGGCATCTGTGGGGGAGAAAGTTGATATTTTGCGTCAGTGACCTTTCATCAGAACATAGACATGAAATATCAACTCTGTTTTTCTCTCCCCAGATGCTGCCAGACCTGGTATATACGGCCAGCAGTTTTTGTTTGTCTATCAGGTCTTCAACATCCATAATATTTTGCTCATCTTTCCTTTGTCTTTGAGACACAGCTACAAATTCCATCACCACTGATTCCATTCCTCTGCTTGGTCACTGTTTTGAAGGTGAATTAAACTGTTCACCTGTAGCCCTGAGCTGAGAATCCAACTCTGTATTCTGTCTGTGATCAAGACTGCCTGCTTGCACCACTGTCACATGATCTGTCTCAACTCAATGATGAAATCATCATCCAAGAAGATTTGTGCCTTATACAGAATCCCAAAGCTCTTTAAACTGATTAAGTACATTTTTCCTGAGAGATAATGTGAGAAAATGGCAGCCAAATTATGCGCTGATGGCCCCCCACAAGCAACAAAATAATATTGAAAAGATAATCTGTGATATGGGATGAATATTAGCTAAAATATTGGGAATAATTCCTCTGCTGTTTGAAATAGTGGCACAGGATCTATAATGTCCATCAGAAAGGACAGATTGGGCCATAGTTTAATGTCTCAACTGAAATATAGCACTTCCTTCAGTACCACACTGGATGCTAATTTTGTACTCAGGTCTGGGGACTTGAATCCACAACTCCTGACGTGAAGGTACCAACTGAGCCACAGCTGTCACCATCACTTGTAGCTGTTACATTTAGGCTCAATTGGCTCAGTGCGCTCTTAGCTAGTCTCCCTTAAATGTCAGCTACTCCAAAATTATGCTGCTTCTGTCCTAACTCTTTAAAAAAAAATCCTGTTCATGCATCACCCTGTGCTTGCCACTTTGAAATTCTCATCCTTATTTTCACATCTTTCCATGGTCTTGGCTCTCCCTATCCCTTCCACCTCCAGCCCAATAACCCTCAGGCATCTGGTTTCTTCAACAATAGCCTCTTGCAAGTCTCCAGCTTTCGTCAGCCCATCGTAGCAGCAGTGGTTTCAGCTGGCAAGGATTTAAGCTCTAAAATTCTCAGTCTAACCCTTCCAACTCACTATCTTTATCTCCTCTTTTAACATGTTCCTTTCCAGCACCTGCCTTAATAGTTTTGGATGGCTCAATGTCAAGTTTTTTTTTTGGAAGCATTCTTGTAAAGCTCCTTGGAACATTTTACATTTTTTTTATTCATTGACGGGATGAGGATGTCGCTGGCTAGGCAGTATTTATTGTCCACCCCTAATTGCCCAGAAGGCAGTTCAGAGTCAACCACATTGCTCTGGGTCTGGAGTCACATGTAGGCCAGACCAGGTAAGGACGGCAGTTTCCTTCCCTAAAGGACATTAGTGAACCAGGCGGGTTTTTCCCGACAATCTGCAATGGATTCATGGTCATCATTAGATTCTTAATTCCAGATTTTTTTTAATTGAATTCAAATTCCATCATCTGCTGTGGTGGGACTCGAACCCGGGTCCCCAGAATGTTATCCGGTTCTCTGGGTTAACAATCCAGCGATAATACCAGTAGGCCATTGCCTCCCCACTTTTAATAAAAGTGCATTACAGACTCATATTGTTAAATGTATTTAATCTGCTTGATTTTATTGGCAGCAGTCAGACCTTAGTATGATTGGAGAGCACTTTGCTGAGAACACTGAGGTGATTAATGACCAAGTTTAGGGTTTGATGAATCCAATTTAAGATGGTATTTATCGTTTATCTTTCATTCTGGGGATAAGTGCTTTGCTAGCAAGGCCAGCATTTATTGTCCAGCCCAAATTGTCCTTGAGAAAGTGGTGATAAGCACCATCTTGAATTGTCCATGTGGTGTAGGTCAACCTGAAGTGCTGTTAGGGAGCGAGTTTGACCCAGTGGCACTGAAGATGTAGTTACAAGTCAGGAGTGCAAGTGGCTTGGAAGAAACTTACAAGTGTTGGTGTTCCCATGTGCTGTCATTGTCCATTGAGATGATAGAGGTCATGGGTTTGGAAGGTGCTTTCAAAAAATCCTTGGTGAGTTACCTCTGTACATCTTGTAGATAGTATACACTATTGTTGTGTATCAATGGTGGAGGGACTAAAGGCTGCTTTATTCTGGACTGTGTCGAACTTCTTGAGTGTTGTTGGAGTTGCACTGATCCAGGCAAGAGGAAAAATATTCCAACAGACTCCTGACTTGTGCCTTGTAGATGGACAGGCTTTAGGGAGTCAGGACGTTACTCGCAGCACTTTTCTCCGTTTCTGACCTGCTGTCGTTGCCACAGTATTTATGTGGCATGTGCAGTTCAGTTTCTGGTTAATGATAACACCCAAGTTATTGATAATGAAGGATTCAGCAATGGTAACGTGGCTGAACGTCAAGGAGTATTGGTTGAATTCTCTCTTTTTGGAGTCGGTCATTGCCTAGCTCGAAGGTTATTTGCCTCTTGTCAGCCTGAGCCTGAATGCTGACCAGGTCTTGCTGCTTTTGGATGTGGAGTGCAATCATTGCATAATCATCAACAAACTTCTGCAGCTCTCATCTTGAGTCATTGATGAAGCAACTGAAAATGATTGGACCTTGAGGAAATGCTGTAGTGATATCCTAAAACTGAAGTGACTGACCTTCAACAAACATACCACCTTTCTTGTGCTAGGTATGATTCCAATGAGCAGAGAATTTCCTCCCTGATTTCCTTAGACTCTAATTTTGCGAGGGCTCCATGTTTCAGTCAAATGTTGCCTTGATGTCAAGGGCAGTCACTTCACTTCACCTTTGGAATTCAGCTCTTTTTTGTCCATGTTTGAACTAAGGCCATATTTGAACTAAGGCCATATTGAGGACTTTGCTGATGACCCATTGTTGCCTCCTTTGCAGCTCTTAATGGATAGACTGGTGGAGGACTCCTTCCATTTTTCGCTGCCTTGCTATTACATTCTTTGCTTTCTCCTGACCAAAGATGAGAGTAATGGAATGTGTTAGATGGAAGGAGAGCATTTATTACATGTGACAGATAGGCGTGTCATTGTTTGTGTTGCATGGATGACTGAGAAGGATTGGTGTAAGGATTGATTTGTTGAAGTAGGTTTCGGAAGACAGGAGATTGGCATGTTTCATATATTCATATATTAATATTCATATATTGCCCTTACTGACCTGTTCCATCATGAATCTGGTTTAGAGTCTGAATCTAGACTTCATTCTTCTGGTGCTGACCTCTGCTGGCTCCAGTAATGCTCTCTTGGTTTTTAACTGGAGAGGTTTCTTCCTCCTGCATGCCTCATCTTATCAGGAAGGAGTCATTAAAGCAAAATACAATCTTCTAAGCTGTTCCCCAGCTTAGAATTGCAATGCTGTTTTAGATGCTGAAGCTGAAATTAACTTTATTGTCAGGTGTGCTGAACCTAATTGGTCTGAAAACCCAGAAATAGCTTGTGCTTAAGAGCAACTGATAGACACACTGATGTATGTCTGGTTTCCTGCACACCACCAGGTGCTCTCCTTATCCCAGCACATCCAGATAAAATCAAGCCTTTGCGTTTACAATAGAGGAGGACAAAATATCAGCTGTACATGGGGAACTAAAAATTAATTGTGAAATTGTTTATTTGAAGTCGAGGCTAGGAAATGTTTAAATTCAATAGATTTTTGGATCAGTATTAAGACATTTTTATCAAATAATAAATGAGTTAAAGATGGAAATCAACCATGTTCTGATTGAGTGGCTAAAAAGGATTGAAGGGTTACTCAAATACGTAAGGTATTTAAATAGAAAGCAAAAATGGTTAAAAATGGCACGTGATATTGTAAGACAAAAGCAGGCAGGATTGGAGAAACAAATGTCCCAGAGAATGAAATTAAATTATCCAACATGAGACACTCTTGGGGAAATAGGGCAGGGCAGGTGACTGAGGTGTCAATGGGGAAGCACTTTGGGGGCAGTGATCTGTAATTCTAATAGTTTTAAAATAGTGATTAGAAAAGGATAGATCAGATGTAAAAGTTAAAGTTCTAAATTGGAGGAAGGCCAATTTTGATGGTATTAGGCAAGAACTTTCAAAAGTTGATGGGAGGCGGATGTTCGCAGGTATAGGACCGCTGGAAAATGGGAAGCCTTCAATAATGAGATAACGAGAGTCCAGGGACAGTATGTTCCTGTTAGAGTGAAGGGCAAGGCTGGTAGGTGTAGGGAATGCTGGATGATGAGAGAAATTGAGGTTTTGGCTAAGAATAAGAAAGAAGCGTATGTCTAGGTATAGTCAGCAGAGATCAAGTGAATCCTTAAGAGTATAAAGGCAGTAGGAGTATACTTGAGAGAAATCAAGAGGGCAAAAAGGGGACGTGAGATAGCTTTGTCAAATAGGATTAAGAATAATCCAGAGGGATTATACAAATACGTTAAGG